ACTCACGTTGTAAGAGAAAGCTCCAGCGGGCAGCAGGTCAATGCAGAGACATGAACATCTAACTGAACTCCTCAGCATGTACGAGCATGTACGAAAGCTCCGATTGCATCGGAGGTAGTATCCGTAGCAAGCAGCAGCACGGTACACGCACTGCAAGGTTACATGTTTCCAGATGCATGCACTCGTCAGTAGCACCGCACCGTTCGGTAGAACAACTTGACTCCGTCTGTCACCACGCCGCAAAATGACTACGATGTTGCGCAGACGACCTGTACCCCCCTGCCTGCTCGCGTCGTGTTACACGCCATGTGGTCACGCCGGCGCTGCTGCACGCGGCGAACGACATCGCTGCCCTCCCGGTGGTAGAGATCGGCACACTCGAGAGCGTCGTGTGCAAGTGCACGAGGAAAGCGAGGGCGTGGGGGAGGCTTTCCAACGGCGGGTACAGCTCCACGAACGCGAAGGCATTCCAGGAAGGGTGAGTTTTGTCAAACCGACCTTTCTTCAACCCCAACTGATGTTGGGTTGAGTATGTCTCCGTCAGCTAATTGCCGGGCGGATTTATTCCAGTTCTGACTTGTCGTGGAATGAGCTTTTTCTGGTTGAGCATGAAGGCAAGAACCGCGTACCCGTCTTTTTTTTTTCTGGCCGACGTTGGCCAAATCGGGGTGTGGGATTCTCCATTGAGAGTCGCACGGTAGTTCTTGATTTTACTCGCAATATGTAGGCTGGAGTCGTCAACAACTTTGTGCACGTCAAGAGTCAGCGGTCCTGCTGGTTTGGTTTGAAGGAGCAGGTAACATGTGCGTGACATAAAGCATGCTGTGAGTGCCCCCCCCCCTGCGTTGTTCCGGGGCACCGTTGTTTGGCCTCTTCACCCCCACCTCCACCCCCTCCCTCCCACCCCGTGGTAAACGCAGGAAACTTCATGACAGTGTTGCCAAAAATCTTGAATACCGACTGCCGTGTCATCTTCACCGAAGTTTGTGAACTTTCGATATCGTCAGCTAGCAAGCTTCTCCGCGCCCTGTTTTTTCGTCACGTGTTTGTCGTGTTCCGAAATATTGTTTGGTGCAAATGCTGTATTTCTGCAAGTTTCGGAATTCCCCGATAGATTCGCTCCGGGGATAGTTGTCTCTTTGTTTTTATATCCCCCCACCTCCTACTCTTGTGCTGTTGTCGTCAGGGAATACAAGGCATTCTTGTGTTGTTATGCTCGTCATGCGCTTGTGCCTGTCACTCAATCTGCCGAAACAAGTTTTCGTCGATTCTTGAGCCATACATCAACTTCATCTCATGTTGCGTACCTATGCCTTCCCTTTCCCCACGTGATTTTCGGACCAGGTTCTGGTACTCCATGCTCCAGTTCATGACGGGCCCGCGTCGCCACGTCTCCGGAATCCTAACCATCCCCAAGTCAGACTACGGGAACCCCAAGATCATGCGCTTCCTGTCCCCACACGCTGGCGGCAAAGACAACCTCGTCGTGGAGGAAACCCCGGCCGAAGACGTCCACGTGGAGACTCCGATCTCGGCGCATATCTCGACGAGATGAACTGATCGTTGTTGTTGGTTGGTCCTTCACAAGCTCAGCATCTGCATGGGTCGCGGAATCGCTGGCAAATGTTCTCGGGCGTAGCGCTTGCTGTGGGGAACAGGTTTTTTGTCGCGTTCGGCAGTAAGTTTATTTCGCCACTGTTCCTTTTCGAGCAACGCGTGAAGCACTTGGAGCTCGATACGCGGCGGCGTACCCTGGACGTGGTACATACAACGCAGAAATGTTCCTGCGTGTCGCCGGGGGAAGGGGCACCTCAAGTATTGAGGTGCTTCGCGGACAAGGGGGCAAGTAGGTACTGTCGTGTGCTGTTTTGCTTACAATTCGGGCCACCCTGGCAGGGTGGACCCTGTCCAGGGTGCCTATAAAAGACCCTGCCGGCGGTGCACCCTTCTGCCGTTCACAAGGTGGGGTACCCTGGCAGGGTGGTTTCTTGGCCACCCTGCCAGGGTAGCCAAATGGCTACAGGTGAAGTTCTCGGTCGGCCGAAGCTATCCGAGCGTTACGATAAGCTCGGACCCCTTGTACGCGCTGACTAGCGTTACCAGACCAGTAAAGCACACTGTGTTTTCTGTATTCTTGCAAGTCGGACTCCCTTTCCCACGACGGTGTCAACAAGCCCATCCAATGAGTCAGGTACAAAACGGCTACCACACCACCTCGTCCTCGTACAATTTGGTGTCCCGAAATATTCTCAACATCTAGACGACTAGACTCCGCTACAATACCATCAGTAGTCAAATTATACGGGGGAGACTTGCGACAATACGAGTGCAAAACATATTTCGACAGATTGGCCTGCATATACGTTGGCAGGTCATTCGTGTCGTATGGGTTGGTACACGGTTTGCACCACAAAACGGAGACACGGTTGCGAGATTCTGGTCCCAGCATGTCTCACGGCAGGTCCAGGTAGAGAAGTTTGCGCTCCACAGGTTTCCCATCCGGTGAATCCTCCGCTTTGGCCGGGCCAACAGCAAGGATCTTGTAGGGTCCGATATCATTGAGCGAAAGCTTCGCTTTGAGCACCACATCATCGGTGTGTTTCCGCAGACCCTGCCGAATAGTAGCGGCGGAGTTGTAGACCCAAGCCCAACCACTAACGTCGTATTTCGGAATCTGACGCAAACCGTTCAACAGTGCAGACCGGCCTTCGACACGCGACACCGTAATCGCATGTTGTCCCCGCACCAAAGCGTAGGCTCGTCTCTGGTGTTCCACCGCAAGATTACAGAAAGCGAGCTGGTCTCGATCCAAACTTTGATGGCCACCCACGCTAGGGTGGTCCAAAACAGAAAGCTGGAGACGGGGCAACCGTCCAGTATGCACTTCATTGGGCGCCAAGCCTGTGGCGGTGTTTACCGAGTTGTTGTATGCAAACTCTACATGGGGAAGATGGACGTCCCAATCGTCCTGACGCTCATTGACCACAACAGCGAGCATTTGAGCCATGGTGTGGTTAACACGCTCTGCCCCACCGTTAGTGTGGGGGTGGTGCGAACTGGTGGTGACTTTCCTGATGTTCGTCAGCTCGTAAATAGCTATGGACAACTTGGAACAAAATTGCACACCGTTATCCGAAAGAAGAGTCACCGGACAACCCCACAACGTCATGTTGCGGTTGACGAAAATGTTAGCCGTTCCCTCAGCGGTAAATTCCGCCTTGGTAGTGGCATACATATCCGCCCGTCGACTGAAACGATCTGTAGAGAAAGGTATATATACATTCCCACGGGACGTGACCGGCAATGGCCCAAAAAATCGACGCTCACTACAATACTCGGCCCATTCGGGAGGGGCAGAGTGAGCGTAGGCCAGCGATACGTTTGCCGGGAAGTCTTGCGCGCTTGGCAAAGTAAACATTGCCGAAGCCACCAACGAACGGATAATTCCATCCCAATCCACCACAAGAATCGCTCCAACATTCGTAAAGTCCGAGCGGTGCCCAGGTGAAACGACGCGGTGGCGTGACATGCATGTAGGACCCAAGGTCGCAACAGTATAGGCACGTATATGCGCGGAGTCTTCGAAGGCGGGAGGCGAGAGATACGCCCGCCCGAACTACCGACAGACAGTGGGGCAGAATTTCGCATTAACAATCGCGTACCATCGTCTGTAGTGTGCAAGCATGTTATAGATGCGAGGGCGACAACATCAGACAACGCCGGTCGTCGCGCACAGAGCAAGCATTCCCAGAGTGTATCCGGCAAAACCAGCGGGGATCCCAAAGATAAAAATGTATAGCCGCCACACACTCACTTTCCGACATCTGTTCGCGGGCCCAATCGGCATGCGAGAATGTATGCACACAATCGCGGAGGTGAGCTTCCTCAGCGGCCGTGGGCGGCACCACGGGAGCCTCAGGGCTAGTACCCGCGGCCGACAACACTGTCGGCGTGGGCGCCGCGGGCGGCGGTGGCGCCGGGGTGGCGGCAGCAGGCGGGGGTGGCGGCGGCGGCGGCAACTCAGCCGGCGCCGAAGCAGGCGGCGGGCCAGAAGTTGTTGTATATGTCCGCGACTTGGAAGGGAGAGACTGAATATCGCTTGTATTAGAAACGCAGAAGCAAGAGAAGAGAAGAAGAAGAGTGCTTCCGGAAAACAGAGAAGCAGGGGTCACAAACACAAGAACCCCAAAANCCGACAACACTGTCGGCGTGGGCGCCGCGGGCGGCGGTGGCGCCGGGGTGGCGGCAGCAGGCGGGGGTGGCGGCGGCGGCGGCAACTCAGCCGGCGCCGAAGCAGGCGGCGGGCCAGAAGTTGTTGTATATGTCCGCGACTTGGAAGGGAGAGACTGAATATCGCTTGTATTAGAAACGCAGAAGCAAGAGAAGAGAAGAAGA